GTTACTTGTTAGGAATCTAATTCTGCAAACCATGACTTCATCTCCCTAAAGGAAGATAGATGAAATGCTTCCATACAACAGATATGGTTTAGTTCAAGACTGAGGGGGAGAAGGGGCTAGGCCACTAAACCTCTAGTCTTAGGGTGAACTTGGAAAGTAGACCTGTCAAAGGTATTCATGCTCCGGCAGCTGGTGTATAGTTGGAAAGGCTGCCCCGTCATGTTGTTATTCAAGGTTGTGGGAAATCTTGTCAAGTTGCCTTAAAATGACCATATTCAATGAGTCTGGGGAGATTTGGCCCAGGGGAGCCTCTGAGTGCTTGCTGCTCTGAGGAAGGAAGCTGCATCACTGATCCTGGCCACCATAGATGATGAGCCATCTGTCATTAGTTGCCAGATATTGGGCCTGGCCAGGAGTGGGAGCCAGTAGTTGCTTGAGTGTCTTGCAAATTAGATCTTAAAGTGTCTTAAAAGAATAGCTATAAGTTGGATGGCACTGCTCATCATTCTGCCTGTCCCCTTTGTAGCATTTATAATTGGGGAGCCTTACACACTTAGAATCCTCTAAGAACTGACCCAAAGCACTCTGGGCCCCAACCAGGCCACTGTCTGTCATTGGTCACAAAAGGTAGACTGTCCTTGGCCACCTGACTTGGCTTCAGGGTTGGGAGTAGGGCAGAGGGCCTGGTGACTTATGCTTTTCCACCTCTTGAGTGCTATTGTCTCAGTCTCCTGGTTTCTTATGGATTCCATTTGTTTTGGACACAGCCCCCTGAAAATCCTTCTGAGGTAAGATCTGGGGTTGAGCTCAGGAGAAAAGGCTTCATGCTTATAAATTTAGTGTCCTCCTGTTTCTTTCTCAAAATCACTTCTCCTTTGACTAGTCAGCAGCAAGACATATAGAGATACACAAAGCCTTCCAAACTATGAAATGGACAGGAACCCCTCCCATGTAGGAAGCATAGACTTCACTGAGGTTGGAGGAGAGGCAGAAGCTGGCTCTGGTCTAGTCTAACAGGCCAGCCCCCTTGCTGATGGGGCTGTGAACCCACCCCAGGGACATGGGTGGGGTACAGTGACAGAAATTGCGGTGCAGTTCTGAGCCTGGGGCCTCCATGACTTTGACTCCATGTCATTTGCAAAGCAAAGTATCACTTACTGGAAAGACAATATCATCAGGCTATCTCCTTTGGTGATGCATTCATTGCCCCAATTCCTTGGCAGTCAGTCCCCTTCTCCCTCCCATGAACATGAATGCACCCTGGAGAGCAAGCGGAAACTGAACCATCTTGTCAAGTTACTTTGCACCTCTCCTTCTCCCTGCAACAGGCGGTCCTCCCAGGAAAGGCTTTTATGATTGCTGTTTCTAAAACTGGGCTGAGGATGAAAGTGTGGGTATTACTGATGTTGCATAAGGAATAAGTGAGTGTCCTCCATCTTTCTTGGGTGTTGTAACATGCCCAGGCTCTCTGCCTACTGCAGCACAGTGCAGTGTTGGGGTGTGGAACATGCTTCTCATTAAAGGTGTGTCTGTGAGGTGCTCTGTCTTGTGTGTCCCCAGATGATACTATCGCTATGGATAGTAACCATCTGGAAAAATGCAAGAGTAAACACAAGATAAAATGCTTGCTCAGCTAGCTGGAATGTGACTATGTGCCCCTCTTTGTTGTTCCTACTAGACGCAGCTCCCACCTCCCTCTCCTTAGAGCTTTGACAGCAGGGATTGAGTTGGGCAGTCATCTTGAGCCATTCAGATCATTGAGTATTGAAGAAACAAAGAGGTGCTGGTCTTCCAGCCCCTGGTAAAGAAGGCAGTAGAATGGCACCCTAGCCCTGTGCCTATCAAGGAGCCAAGATGCTACCATTCCCTTGGCCGGCACACCCACTTGCTGTTCATTGTCACATCCAGGTGAATCCAGGTGAATCCAGCTGGTATCTCTGGATCCAAGCAGAATTAGTAACATTAGAGCACAGTCCTTGAAATTTCCCAGGTGGAGAATCTGAGGCCATTGAACTTGCAGTCACAAAGTAAGAGCCTGGGGGAAAGGCTTGTGGAAGCCAAGGAAAACGTCCTGCAGGCAGCTTCTGGGGAGTTGATCTTCGGACTCCTCCACCCTGATGCTCACTTCTGGGTCACTCCATTGTTTTCTTTCCTTATTCCACTATTACCTGCCCTACCCAAGTCAGGGACCCACAGCACTCAGAGTCCCGCCCCCCCATCACCACGCTTCCTGGGCCCTCACCATTTCCTTGCATGAAAAGTGAGGGTAGCTCTGCAGGAGGGAAAAAAAAAAAAATCACCTGATCACCTCCCTCTTTCCTCCCACCACTGATGGCCACCAAGTCAACTCTTGGGGAGGGTCTTCCACTAACAATCTGGCAGGAAGAAATGACCAGCCTTCTCCACTTTCCTAAGAAACTGTTTTCAAATGATTTTCGTGCCAAAGGGATGGGCTTAGGACTTAGCAAAATAGGTCGCCAATGTGAGCGCTCTCCCTCCCTCCCTTCCTCCCCAGTAAGGCACATTATGGTCAACAGATTATAATCCTCCAGCCGCCTCCTGCATACTCTGGCCTTGGATACTGTTAGCCCTCTGTTTCCCTGTGACCTTGGAAAGGGGGGATGCAAGACTGGGAAGGAGAGTGCGTTGGGCCAGGAAGCCAGCAAAGTGGGCTACAGCTCTGTGATGCCAGATTTCTCCCTTAAGCCTTCCTGTGCCTTGGGGACTGCTGTGGTGGGCTCTTCTTCCTGCCCTCTGACTCCCAGGGTCTGTGTGCTCATGGGGCTCAGACACCTGCTTGCTTCCTCTTGAGCCATGGGCAGGACAGTATCCTTGCAGTTGTATTGCCTGCTCTGTGAGCACAAGGCTGTGCTGGACCAACCAAGCAAGTGTTTCTGCACTCATGGCACTTGGGCCCTAAGGTTACATAGGCATCACAACCACCTTTTGCACTTGGCAGAGTAGGCCCATTGCTACACTACCATGGCCAGGGAAGTTTTAGGCAAAGTGCCAGATAAGCCATGTCATCCCACTATTGGCCAGCTGCCCTGCCTTGTGAGACTACTAGGTGAAGTGGAAGAGGCCAGCCCTCCACCCGTTAGTACCTGAGAGTACTTTAGCCTCCCTACCTCGTACTTGTGACCCTCATTGGGCTGAAGCCCAGAGAAGGGCCCCTGTGGCCCTCTCTGTAGCCCTGGCCTGTGCAGCCCTGCAGTGACCTCCGTGCTGGCCTTGGAACTTTGAAAAGGCAGAGGCCTTGGGTGCTTTTGGGTCCCTTTACCAAGCTGACGGCCTTGTGTCTTAATGTGGGGATTGTTGAATAAATGAATTCCTGGGTTTGGGGGAGACACCTGCTGTTCCAAGTGTGACTGATTTCACACACACACACCACTTCCCTCTTGGTCCCCCCAGCCACTATAAGTGTGTTCATTAGTAGCCAAGCAGATTTTCTGCTTTATACACATGTTTTGGGTGTGGGGCTCAGAATACACTGAAGTGTATACACTTCAGAATACACTAGTGTTTAAGAATACACTTAAAAATGTGTATTCTAGCCAGGCATGGTAGTACCTATCTGTAATACCAGCACTTAAGAGGCTAAGGCAGGAGGATCTTGGATTCATTGCCAGCCTGGGTTACATAGTGAGTTTGAGGCCATAATGAGGCTCTGTCTCAAGAAAAGGAAAAAATGAAAATGTATATACCATGTAATATTACAAATTTCAAACAGTTTTTATATAGCTAATGTTTTGTCCCTAGTTATTTCATGATGATCCCAAGTGCTGACTTTGCTGGAAAAATACAGTGTTTACAACATAACTAGAATATTAGAAATTCTTTTGTACCAGCAGAAGGTCAGGCTTGGGCTGGACTCAGAAACTGGCTTAGAAGGCCATCATAGGCAGGGTGATGGCATGGGCAGAGCCATCGAAGTGGGCAGTGTAAGATGCATTCCAGTACATTCTGCCCATACCATTAAGACAATGAGTCAGGGATGAGATGGGCGGATTACCAAGAGAATTGTGTCACCAAGGAGAAGAATGACCATGTCCTAGGGTACTTCCTAATTCCCACCATAGCTGGCACTGTGGAAGATCTGTCCTCCTGTCCTGTGAGAGTCAGGCATAAAGGACAGGGAAATAAACTGATTTGGCACCAGCTGTGGGTCAGACTTCCAGGCTGCAAGTTTACTTTTCCCCCATATGCTTTTTATTTTGAAAATTACAAACTTACAGAATGCTAAAAGAACACATTTTCTTTTATTTATATTATTTTAATAATTATAGAGTACGATGCACTGTTTTGATACATATATACATAGTGGTATGAGTAAATCGAGCTAATTAAATGTAGCCATCCCTCATATACCTATTTCTTGGTGTGGAGAACATTTAAAAACTATTCTTTTTAGTGATTCTGAAACATGCATTATCAACTATAGTCACCATTCTGTGCAATAGATGATTAAACCTACTCCTCCTGTCAGACCGAAGACATGAAGTTGGTTGTTTTAGGTCTACAGTACCCCAACTTTTGTTTTATGAAGCTATGACACTGACCTTGTAGCAAGTTGAGTCATATCTTCCTACTTTCAAATCCAAATGTGCAGGTGTTCAGCTTTGATTCAAGCAGCAGGGATTTCTCAAGGCCACATAATATCAGACCCCATCCCCTTGAGCCCTGCAAACGTGATACTTTCTGGAGACACAGTGCTGTGTACCCATGGGCCATACTGCTGCCTCTCAGCCTTAGCACCTTCATCTCCAAAGCAAATGGTTCCACCAGGGCTTCCGAGGTCTCGCCCTTTGCCCTTCAACCCTCCGTGACTAACTCCACCCTAAGTATCACCAGCAAGACCAGCCTGCAGTTTCCCACCTTGTGCAGCTGCTTCTTAAAGGAGCTGCCTGTTGCCATCCCAGCGCTGTGAATAGGGGGGACCGGTGACACATGCAGCTTTCTGATGCTCTGACGTGACCATACACTCTTCTTTGCCCCTTCAGCGGAGATACTGGAACTGGCTGGCAACGCAGCAAGAGACAACAAGAAGGGACGGGTCACGCCCCGGCACATCCTGCTGGCTGTGGCCAATGATGAAGAGCTCAATCAGGTATGGGACTCTCCCACCTGTCCCCGGACACTTGAGCATGCAATCAGAATGGCCAAGAGACAGGTGTCTGTCAGAGAGGACATAGTTGGCTGGCCAGCCAAGGTATAGACTGCATTTGGGACTATGAGCAGCTTCTCTGCTTCCCATAGCAGTTTTCCCTCAAAGCTTCATTGGGGGTGGGATGGGGGAGGAGAATGAAATAAGGTGTTTGGCTGTCCCAGGGGGAATGATATGCTCTAAATTCCATCTGAATGAGGAGCTCCGCGGACTTGACACCTATAGTGGGCTTGAGTTCCATCAGCTTCCTTATAGAAGCCACAGAGGCAGGAGCTGTACTAACCAAGAGCAGAAGCATGCGTGGACAGGGCTGACTTCTCAAAGGCCAGGAGCAGGGTGGGCTGACTCACCATCTGTTAATTTGGTTTTCCTGCAAGCTGCTAAAAGGAGTCACCATAGCCAGTGGGGGTGTGTTACCAAACATCCACCCTGAGTTGCTAGCAAAGAAGCGAGGATCCAAAGGAAAGTTGGAAGCCATCATCACACCACCCCCAGCCAAAAAGGCCAAGTCTCCATCTCAGAAGAAGCCTGTGTCTAAGAAAGCAGGAGGAAAGAAAGGGGCCCGGAAATCCAAGGTATGTGATCTGACAGGGATGTGTAGCATGGGGCAGGGAGGAGGTACAGACAAATGCAATTGTAATCAATCCCACTGATGGGTGTGGGGCTTGAGGGAGGGACATATCCAGCACAAGTGGCCAATCAGGAGGCTCTCCAGACCTAGATACAACTAGAGGACTGACCCCTGTGGAAAAGCTTGGAGGACAACAGGCTTGCAGGGAGGTGGGTGACAACCCTAGAGATGCACTGGCTGTGGGAGGAGCTTCCCTGTGACAGGGGACAGCCACCATCCAGTCCTGCTCAGCTGGGCTGGCTGCCCATGTGCCTGGATGCTCAGCAGCAGAACTCTTGCTGTGTTACCATGGCTGCATGTCCTCCTTCTGCCATTTCCCCTTTTAGAATGTATGCCTCAGAGGAGGGGGAGAGATATTATTCAGGCAATTCCTTATAGACCTAGTGTGAACTGAGGCTGAGTTCTAAGTGCTGGTCCTTTTGTGAAGAAACCTCATTAGTGTGACCAAATGTTGGGTGGGAAGGGCCAGCAGATCCTAAGCCTGACCCTCGAAGTGTGGGGCACAGCACCCAGCTCATCTGCCTGAACTCGGGCAGGAGACTGCAAGGCAGCTGGAACAGTTCTTTGTTCTTTCCTTGCTGTGCCCTGACTATCAGCTATTGTCACAGCCTCCAGGGTCAACACACAAGAGTCATGCTATCAAAGCTTTGTCTTTAATAAAGTGGAATCTTGATGTGTGAACCCTGCCCTTGGGCATCGCCTGAAGGGTCTTCCTTCTGGCCTCCAGGTGGACTAGGAGGAAATTATGTCTGGTAGAAGGTGACCTTTATCTTGGAAGGACCTCATTAGAAGTCCTTGCAAGGGGCTCGTGGAATCTGATGATATGGCCTTTGAAAGTTCTCTCACATGCACTCAGATGCTCTGACATGGCTGGGACAGTGGGACACCGTTCAGGAAAGACTTTGAGGGGTCATGACCAGGTAAGCTGAGATGCTCCTGGCCTGCTAACAGGGTCCTTCCTTGGAGCCTGGGGTGAGGCAGACTAGAATTAGGGATAGTTTGGGACTCATAGAAAAAATACTACATCTCAGATTAACCGTGCTCGGGGTCACCTGGCCTGGGAACCACCCATTCCCCTCCCTAATCATTGATTGTTGAATGAGAATCTCCTGGTTCTGCCCTTCCCATGGGTTAGCATAGGTTTTTTTTTTTTAAAAGCACCTAAGAGAGACATGCCTTCAACCTCCAACTTCCACCTGGGCCCTCCCATGCTCGCTTTTGTATTTCCCTTCCCAAACTTTTAATAAACCCCATTTACACCCACACATCTTGCTATGGATTGTTCCCGCGGGACACAAATAATTTAGAAGTCTTTTGATCACAGACTCCACTGTCAGCTGACAAAAGGGGCACTTCGTTTGAACATCCCCAAGCATTCACATGGTTTTGCAATAACCTTTAGTTGAAGTGGAAGATGCTGTATTTCCTTACATGCCCTCCTTGATTGCAAAAAACACTCCCCTGAAAACGGAATCTAAATCCCTTTTGCCAGTGTGCCACCCACCTTCCCAGGCTCAGAATCACTCCATCTTTTGGGAGAGGAAAACATGGTCTTGAAGAGCAGCCTGTGTGTTATTTCCAGACACTTGCATTCCACCTAGTTCATGAGTCCTGGAGGAGGCTGGGGCAGCAGGCAGGAACTTCACAAACTGCTCCCCAATTCATTCCTGCCAACTAGAAAATGAGCAGATTGAAAGGTTCTCTTCCCGCTTCTCACATTTGCAGTTGGGAGGAGGGGCAGAGAGGAAAGGCAGGGCAAAGTACCTTTGCAGCTCTTTTAAATGTTAAAAAAGACACAAGATAGCAAAGCCATCTTTCTTGCAAATGGCCCCTGGGGGCCTAGCTGATTTCAGAGTAGAACCCTGGGCTCTTGGTGTTTGGGACCAGCAGAGGCAGAATCATGCATTGGACTTGGCCCTGATCTGACTGCATCCCAAGCCTCTTCCATGATATTTGAGTATATCTCTCCTCTCCAACGCCAGTGTCTGTAGCAAACCGAGGCTAAATGTTGTTGCTTCTGGCCCTAGTCTTCCCCTAAGTAGAGGTTGCCCATGACTTCCTAAACTTCCCAGTTTACCAAATACCAGGAATTCTTTTTCTTTCTTTTTGGACTTGAAGCTGTGTGTGCGTGTGTGTAGCTCTAGTAACTATATTTGGTTTCTAATAACCGTATGCCAATAACCACTCGAACACTCAACGTTTCCCTTGATTACAAAAGCAGGAAGTCTGTGATGGTGGTCTGGTTTTCTTCCACACAATAAAACACATTGTCTGCTTACTGTACCAGTATTTGGCTAACATAAAACCCTGGGGAAAGCTGAAATTGGAACCGTGAACAGCTAATTTTCAAAACATTTGTTTAATGTAAATTGTGGTGTCAGCTCCCAGAAACAACGGAGAACCCTGTATCTCCAGGTTTAAGTGGAATGTTCTGAAAATAACCTTTCCAGAGACACGCAGAGAAGCCTCAGTAACATGTTAAAGCACTTGCAGTGAAAGGGAGTTGGTATTTTTCAAATGTCAACACTCGAATTCCAAATCATAATTTACTCCTCAGTTCTATGTAATGTGAAGGTTTTGAAAATCTCCAGTTGCGACAGCTGAGTCAGCTACAGTGGGAACAGTTAGAGAAGGCAACAGACCCCTTCTGGGGCTAAGTCCAGAGCCCTGGCTGTGCCTAGCAGCTCCTCCTTCCTATTTGGGTGGCCTCAGGCAAGTCTGTTCCCTCTCTGTGCCTCAGTTTACCCCTAGCCCATAAAATGACTGAGTCCATTCAAGCCTTAGAATTCAGTGACTACACATAGCACACACTGTGTTTTCACATGGGTAACATGTGTTAAGTGTTTGGACACTACAAAAACTCATCAGGAGTTTTTCTTTTCAGAAAGTCTCTACGTATACAAGTACATAGATATACAAATCCTTCTCCATCCTATTTGTTAAAAATATAAATCACGTCAGTTTGGCCGTGTGGTGTGGTCAGCCACCTATCTTTGTATTTGAATTCTTCCAGTTTGTATTTGAATAGCTGTGTGGCCTTGGCATGCTACTTAACTTCCCTAGTCTGTAAAATGGAAGTATAACCCAGGGTGGTTGTGAGACTTACACGGGAATTCATGTGAAGTGCTTGGAACAGTTGGGCATGGCAGAGCTGGGGCTGCTTTTACTGTGACAGTTCTCACCTGTCTCTGCAGGGACACTGTGCTACCTCATAGGATGCCTATAGGTGCCCTCATCATAGGTGACAGCCATACAGCCAGTCCTCTAGGAATGGACTTTACTTCTGGCATTCATTCTGATAAGCAGTACTTGTCTCTGTGTTCTTGTGTGAGTGTATTGGTAACCTTGAAGGCCTCTGTGTTCTTGTGTGAGTGTATTTGTAACCTTGAAGCCTGTTACTCAGAGTATTTCAGCCCCATTCGGAAATTTCAAAAGCTGCCTCATTCTTTTAGTGTTTGATAGTGAACTGCTTAAGGAAAAATGTTGATTTGTCAGTATTTATAGGCAAAGTACTGCTTTTAGCAGATAGGTACAGCAGTGAACATAGTCGCTGCTCAGTGAGGACTGCAGGTGCATTAGAATAGGAGAGAGCACGGGATGTGACAGAAATAAAGAGTGCGATGGCATAGGCAGTGCTACTTTACAAAGGTGGTCAGGTGAGGCCACTCTTGTAAAGTGATACTTGAGCAGAGATCTGGTGGAGTAAGGCATTAGGTCCTTCAATTGCCTGAGAGCAGAGAGGTCCTAGCAGAGCGATGACAGCAAGTGGCCTTGAGGTGGGAACATGCCTGGTTCCTTCCAGAAACAGGATTTGCCTGTGGAGTCTCTAATGTTTCTGTAGCATGAACACCACATGACTGGCAGTGGGGAAAGCCTTAAGATAAGGTTTTCAGGGCATAAAATAAAATACCAGAGACTCAAGGAAGGCATTATGCCCCAATCCTTAGGGTTAAGGTCGCATCAGAGTGTTTACTAAGAAACAGTGGATAATTTCTAGGGGATCTCTAAGATCATTTTTACCAAAAATTTGGTTGAAAAACCTGCAGCATCCCGAACCTACCCCACTCCCACGTGCAGACCACCCTGCTGAGTCATGAAAATGTGCTCACCCCTCTGCCTGGCAAAAGCCCAAGATGTTTTTGGTAGCATGCCTCTTTTCTTAGGAGTAAATATCTAAACTGCAAATTAAGTGATTAATGTTCTGATAAGGAAGGCCAAAAGAACTGTTTCCTTTGAGGAGCTGCCATCCTGATGGAATTCTGCTGGTCTTCTAACGAAGTTCTGCTCCAACATGAGTGGAGGAGACAGATGAGGCGTAGGTGAACTTGAGATGATGGTTTTGCCTTGGTCCTTTTGTACATTCAGTTCTACAGTTTCTTTAATAAGGCTTCAAGCTGACTCTGACATTCAGGTTTTCTGCTCAGAACAGCTGCTTGCATGTTCAATACATGAGTACCTTTGCGTTTGTGCAGAACTATTAAATTCTAAAAAGTCAATCATTTGGGAGTTTGATGGGATTGCACAGTGTTCCCTCCCAAGCTGGAATATGAAAAGAATCTACTACCTAGTATCACTCCTTCATAAAAGAAAGGACATTTTAATTCCAAAAAGCTAAGAAGGGACATAACTGCAGACAATAAGCTTTATGAAAACTTAGACACAGTTAATGATTTGAATGCAGTAGCTCCTTGCAGGACAACTATGCTGACTGCAATCATCCCCAGCCTCCCATGAGAACCTTGAAGGGAAGGCTTGCTTGTCCTCTATTCAGCACTTGGCTGTTTTCTCCTGGTCACTCATTTAATCCTTCCTCAGCTCAGTCATATTATCCAGGTGAGGAATCTAAGGCTTAGGGAAAGTGAAGTGAACAGTTTACCCAATGTCAAGCAGCAGAGCCAGGACTCGAGTGCAGCATGTCAGAGCTCAAACATACTTTCCCTTGCATGTCCATGGACCACTTCCTTAGCCAAAACCCCCTGTTCTGATGGGACAGAGTCACCACTGCAGGGTGAGTGGGAGCAACAGCTTTAATGGATCACTGCTGAAAACCACCAGCATTATTGTAGCTTAGGTCCTAAAACCTGGCTCTACAGGGGGCGGCTGCTTGGTGAGTTCCATTGCCTGTCTGTGTCCATTGAAATCAGGTCTGACTGCTAGATACTAAATGCTATCAGACAGGGCTTTCTCACCTCTTAAAACCCAGTGAGAAAGCGCTGAATCCTTCCCTGCTTGTCTCCTGGTATAAACACCTCATCCCTCACCATTTACTGGGCACTCTGTATGCATCTTGTTGCAGTGGGGGACATAGTGGCTTTCAAACTTGGCTTGCATACCTCCTGAGAGAATTTTTAAATCTTTCTTTGTATTACACACATTTCATATTTGACAGCTTTGCTTTTATTTTTGGCATGCTGCAAACATTTAAAAAGTTTCATCACTTGTTTAAATGTATCCAATAGAATCTAAATACTCTGATTCAATATACAAAGTTTTTAAAAGTTCTTTTTAACAGTTGGAAATTTACATTCCTTTATACTTATTTCCCTTTCACTTCCCCACAAAATTCCATTCCAAGATAATATTTTATGCTTAGTTTTTTAGTTATTGCTGCAATAAAACAATGTGTGTAAATTTCAATGTATTTTGAAAACAATCCTTGTGACCTTATGTGAATGCATTAAAGGATATAGGTTCCCCAAGACTGGCTAGTTAACACACTTGATGCACACTTAATCAACCAACAAGTGCATTACAAATTTTAATAAGTTAGAGAAAAGTAAAATTTTCTTGGAAGAGCATTTTCTAATGAAATGAGATAGATTTTTTCCCCCAGTTAGTTCAAATATTCTGAGGTGAAACAAGCTTCAGCATCTTTTATTTATTGATACAAGTAGCTGGAAAAATGTTCATTCATGTAATTATATGAAAATGAAATGAGTTGTTTTACCAACATTACTCAGTCATCTGTACTTTCTGATATGCCAGCAGTTCTGTGTAATCTATCATCAATTTGTGTGAGAAACATTTTTAGAATAGATTTTACAGAACTGTTACAAGGCTATACAGAGAGGTCTTCGGTAATTCTCACCTAGTTTCTCTTTTGTTAATGTCCTACACTACCACATGGTACACATGTTCACCACTAAGCAACTAACAGTGGTATGTCACCATTAACTAAACTCCATCAATCTGGTTTTCAGTGTTCCCTCAGCTGTTAAGTAGGTATTTTTCCAGTTTTGTTGAAAGTATGGAACTGAAAAACAACTGACTTAGCCTTTTCCTTTCTCAGTTCTTGGAAAGTATATCAAAAAAGGCTTATTAAGACTTGCCATGTAATTTTTTTTTTTTTTTACTATTTCGAAACTTCAATTCCTTTAGTAACTACAAGAATAGTGATGGCGGGCATGGATTATAAACCATGTCAGTACATCTAGATTTTTAATGTACTGCAGAATTTGTCCTTTAATCGATCCCATTATTTTTTTTCCTTTTATTCATATGTGCATACAATGTCTGGGTCATCTCTCCCTCTCACCCCCACTCCTCCACCTCTAAGTGTCATATAATTCTTGATTAGACCTTTTTCTCTTTCATGCATGAGCTCTGATACACTCAAAGTATTAGGAAAATATCAAGTAGGAATTTGATTAGGAAAATCAAAATAGTTATAAAATATATTTGACAGTACCATATTTCTTGATAAAAAAATAAAAACCTTGGGGCTTCAGATTTAATTCATTAAAACCTTGAAGCTCAAATTTAGCTCATTTAATTTACAGAAAGTGTTAGGTATGTAGTCTGTTTGTCAAAACAGTCCTTATTGTTAAAGCCATCAGCAAAATTAGATATTATTTTTCACTGCAAGCAAAACTGCTAATATACTAATGCTAATATACTAATGCTAATAAATCTGAATCCTGCATAGGTAAATGGATAGGGCACAGGCATTCCCCTGGGTTTATTGTCCAGGCTTATCCTTCTGGAAGGCATGGCCATCTGTAATTTTTCTCCCACCCCTTTTTTTTGTGCTGGGGTTCAAACCCAGAGCCTGTACATGCTAAACAGATGCTGTTATCACTGAGCTACACTCTAGCCACCCCTTCAGTCTTAATTTGCTCCCACAGGGCCCCGCCTTGGGAGTAATATACTTTTTGATAATTGGGGGAAGGGAAAAGGTGAAGTCTAAACAAAAATCGCCCTCATTCCCACTGTCCTTACTCCACAATGGCAGAATACAGGAAGTCCTCAAAGAACTAGATATCTACCTCTATTACAGGCTTCATCCTTAGCAGAAGTCTGCAAAAAAACATGTGTACCTACCCCCAGGGTGCGCACACTACTGGCACTTTTTGGGCAGTGGTAGGAGGGTGGTTATGAAGGGAATCCAGGTTTCACCTTAGCCTTAGGTGTAGATCCTTCTTAGGGCAGCTCAGGTGCAGGTGGAGGTCTAAGGAAGCTAAGGATCTGGGCCGTGTGTCTCTTAGAAGGCCCTCAAGGAACTCTGGGACACACATACTTCAGTCTAAATGAAACTGGGAAGAGGCTCAAGAGTGTGCCATTGTGGGGTGGGCACGGCGACAGCACTGCATGCATCCTCCTCCTCTGCTGGCTTTATGCAGGAAATCTGAAGAGGGCCTCCCTTTTAGGGTGGGAAAGGCTGGAGGGTTGCAGTCCTTGGTCTGCTTGTTTGGCTTTTTAAGAACTAGTGAGCTAAAACAGTTTATTTTCTTCTTAAGCTTGAGTGGTGTGCAAATGTCTAGAAAGGAAAGACACTTGAAGACGCTGAATGAAGAGACATTTACTTGGTCTGAATTAATGAAAATGGTTCTATTGTAAATTATCACGGTAAATGAAGTTTTACCTTTAGCCTTTTTTAAGATTATAAAGCAATAAAAAATGTACACTTTAATACTCTTCAAGGAATTCTTGGCCGGCACAATAAGTCAGCAGCCTCTACTGTGAGAAATGCCCAGGGTTGTGATTTCATTTTCTGGGTTCTCACCAGTGTCATTGGTGAGGCCTGCAGTGGCCTCCCTGTTAGAAAAGCCTCTAACAGGCTTTTTTTGTGGCCCCTGCTGCACAGCCCATTTTCTGACTCTTTTCTTTGTGCAAGAAGAAACAGGGAGAAGTCAGCAAGGCAGCCAGTGCAGACAGCACGACTGAAGGCACACCCGCTGATGGCTTCACAGTCCTCTCCACCAAGAGCCTTTTCCTCGGCCAGAAGGTAGGCAGACATGCAGCCCTGGCTTACTTCAGGGTCCCCCAGGACAGAGGACATGGGCCACCTCCCCTGTAAGGCTGGGATTCCTGGGGACCACTCCTGGCCCAGTGGGTAGACGGAGCAGCAGGGGGCGTTGGGAGTGACCTAGGAAGGGCCAGGTGCTGAGAAGACAACAAAGCTGGGGCTAGGAGCTCTGGCAGGTGGAAAAGAAGGCAGGAGGCTCCCGTGGGGTATTGAGACCCTTAGGCTCAGCCTGGGGTCTCCCTTCTGTGGGGACAGCCTGGTCGTCAGAAAACCAGGTCATACACAGGAATAGATGTAGCAGGCAGCCTCCTGGGGAGCACTGAAGGGAGATCCCCTGATCCCATCCAGGGGGCTGATTGTTTTCAGACAGACTAATGGGTGCACCAGGGGTTTCTTCACTGAACCACCAGACGACTCTTAACGCCAGTTGTTTGTTTGTTTTAACCATGGGCAATATATTTTCAGCTGCCCCAGTGATGCACCTTTGCCAGGACGTCATGATTTTGTAAAAGACGATTCACTCTTATTGAAAATAAAAATGATGCAAAGGCTTTTAAGACCTGAAAATGAGAGTTAATTAATATTTCTCTACTGATACCAAAAAGGGGGTGGGGAGCTTTCTTAATTTTTTAATCCTACCTTAACAAATTAAAGGACTGAATTTGACCTTGCATGTAAATTTGTTTAAAGGCGGTAACAACTTGGTTCAGAAGCTGCATCATTTTTAGATCCTCACTGTCTATTTCCTTTTGCACCACAGTGACACAGTTCTTTTGCTTACATCATTGCAAATTTTCCCCCCAGCCCTTCCCTTCCTGTCACTAATTGCACTCAATCTCCCATGATGCAATTCCTGTGGTGGACTCTGTGTTCCAGAATCTAACCATTGCTGTTTACATTCTATAACCATTATCTGTATTTTGTGTGCATTTTTCAAAAGAAAAAAAAGCAGCTCTAGTTGTCATCTTAAGGTCTGGGGCTTTAAAGTTTTTTGTTTAAATTTTTTTTTTTCATTTAAAAAAAAAATCTCAACTTGGCAGTGAAGGCAACCACCTGGGTCTATTTTCACACCCTTTAACATGTCCTTCGGGTAATATATCGAAAGTTAATGTGCCCTGTCATCCAAATTGCTTCAGTTGGAACTAATGTGTGAAAACTCCTTGCTACTTTAGGACTTAGCTGCAATATGTTCTACATCCCTAAGGCAGCCATTAGCCAGGCCTGGGAGGCCTATTAAGCAGGTAGCACAGTTCAGCCCCTGGGGCCACTGTCATTCCTCCCCACCCTGCCTTTGGGCGCTTCCACAATGGCCTCTCCCTTCCCTGTCTTCTAGCTTCCTTCTGCTGCCACCCTAGATTCAGCCTCAGATAGAATCCACATCCTCCTCGCTGAAAAAACTCACACAGTTCTAAATAGGTGCACTGAGCTATATATATATATAAAACACATGCCCATGTGCAAATGGGGATGCCCCTTTTTGTTCCTTGGCTCTTTAGAAAGAAATGGGATCAGGTCCACGTCTAGGTTCTATAGCCTGGTGCCCTGGTAAAGGCATTGGATATCTTGCTTACTCTTGCAGAGCTGGGCACCTAACAGCTTTCCTCCCTTTCGGGTGCTCCTGGTCTCCAGCCTCAGGACAGGTGTCCCAGGAATCAAAAAACTACAAATCTGACTAATACTGACTATACCCTGCTCAGGGATGGAGAACAGGGTCCAAAAAGCCATAGAAAATGTACAGGCACATCATCTGATGAGAATGAAAGCAGTGGACTGGACTTTGAAACTAATGTGCCTGCTTGCAGTCTTGACTTTTGGTGCAGATTGATTGAGCTGGAGCCATTTCAAATGGTCAGCTGTAAGAGAATGCTGAATGCTGACCCAGACAGTTCACCAGCCTTCTGTCCCATGTCATACACCTCATTCTTTTGGCTTCTGTGAAACTGCCCTTCCTGTTAAATGTGCATACATGATAAGCCAAGATGCACATACCTCAGAAGTCCCCAGAATCACTGCAGAGTAAAATGCATCTTTCCCGATGTGGCTACTCAGAAGCATCCCAAGGGAGCCTGGGCACCAGTGCTGGGCCTGGGGAAGTGTCCATGCCAACCACTGTCCTTTCGAACCATCCATTCCTGCAGTTTGAGATGGAGTGTTTCTAGTTCAGAGCATCATTCTGAAGCCATACTTTCTGGTCCCTTTTTGGCTATTACTGTCAGGTGAAAAGTATAACATGTAGTGTGAGGGGGCAAGAGTCATAAAACTGACAAACATAAAATGTTATGCAAAGCACATTTAAGGTGTTATTATTGCAGACATTAATTTAGATTTGGATTTTAGGAAATGTTTCAAAAGGGTACTTTAGAATGATGACTGGAACCCTGTGTTCTGTGAGCCTTATTTTTCCATCTGTGACAGTGAAACCAGCGCTTGCATATTGCAAGCAAGCTGGTGGAGAAAGGTGATATTGTGTTCACTACAGCCCTGTAAGGCGTGGTTGCTAAGCTACTCACAGGAGGAACTGGCTGAGGCTTAGGAGCCTGGGATCTAATTGTTGTTGTTAATGATGTTGTTCACAGACTGAAGTCTCTGGAGTAATCACCCCCATTACGATTTACCCAGTGTTCACACACATTGTTGAGTTGTTTTAAAAAACAGTGCTGTGAACATGAATCATCTAAATGTTTTTCCTTTGTGGTTCAAGTGAGATTTGCAGCCTTTTTTCAGAGGTTTTAAAACCTGATGGTTTTACTTCCAATGTGTATATCTGTAAATCTTGTCAGTGGTAGTACAAGTCAGTATTATTTAAAGCAGTTGGGAAGCAGTCTGAGGAGGGTGTGAGTGAACCTCCTTACCTCCCAAATGCTCGGGATCCTGGTTCCCATACTGGAGACCATTGAAGGCAGGCAGATGTTGGGTATCAGGGTTTTTCTCCATCTGATCCATGTCCCCTTCTAGGGCAGGAAAGCTGTAAGGAGAGGGGTGGTCATTTGCCCCTTCCCACCATTCTAGCTGAAGCCTGGCCTCTGATGTAGATTAGGAACCCGATGGAGCCCTGGAGAGCGGCTCAGCTACTGGGTCTCCAGCAGGGCCCATGCCAGTCCTGGTCCTTCCAAGGCACTTTCTAGCCAGAAACCCACCAGATGCCATTGCCAGCCCCAAAGTCTCTGGAGAAATTTAGGCTGGGGAAGCATGTAGGTGGGGAATAGCTTAGCACAGATGTGAGAGCAGAAATGAACCTCTGGGTGGGTCCCATGGAAAGCATAGTTCTCATGGAAATTTAGAAAGAATTCTATGGAAGACACCTCCCTTTCCACTCCACCTAGAGGAAGTAGACTTTGGGGACAGGAAAAGACTTTATATGTCTAGCTCAGGGAAATGAGACTAGCCAGTCCCCCTAGCTTGTCTTTGAAGGACACCAACATTTGACAATTACAGCTAGACTTAACATATAGTTCAAATTATCTTTAACAATCATTTTAATTTCCTGAAATTGATTTTTTTTAATTATACTGTATTTTCTTTTTTGATAAAAGGATTGTACTATTTCTTGTAGCCAAATAGATCAGGTCAAGGCAAGACTGTGTGTCCATCCAGCAGCTCCAGGCCACTGGTTTCTTCCTTGACCTCAGTTGACAGACTGTCTCCTGACCTACCCCATGTTGTGTGTTCCAGCTTCCCAGTAAGGCCAGGTTGGCTCTAAGCCACTGAGATCTACATCAGGCCAGAGGCTCAATTTCTAAGCTCTGTTATTTCCATTAGCCTGCTATGATGGGGGGGTGGGGGGAGTATTCATCTCAGAGTTCCATCTGAAGATGTCTGATATTCAGTGTTAGTGTGGATATAACCACTATAGGAAAGGGTCCAACAGATGTTACAGACTGGCCAAAGCAGAGCCATCTGAGATAATGAGACCCTAGTGGTGGAAGGGGTCTCCAAGTTTGCTGGGCTAAGTCCCTTTCTTCCAACTCTGCTTTAAGTTACCCCCGTGCCATGGTTTAAAACTTGAATTTTCCATCTTTCTCAGTGATAGTTCAAACTCTACAACCATTAATGATCCTCATTCCTGGAAAATAATACTGTCCTTGGGGATTTTCATAGTTCCTCAGAAATCTGATTTGTGGCCCACAGGTACCCCTCCTGTGCCCTGCGCTTCTGTGGCCACATGCCCTTTGGCTGAGGGTCAGTCTCCTATGACCGGGTGTCTGTCTTGGTCCTGTCACTCCCATTCACGTGTGAACTGGACTGTGGGATCCTTTCCAGGCTTGTACATACATAGCCTGTTTGTGCCTTGTGCTCATGGGTTTTCTTCTCTTGTCTAGGTGAGCTACTGTCTTTGTTTATGATCATCTTACTCCTGGCCTCTGCCCACTGGTCCAACCTACCCAAGCCAAATTGATTATCCATTTTTCTTTCCAAAGTGCCTGAACCTCCACACCTCACAACCCCACCCCCATCCCAAAGCATACACAGGACTTTTTAAAAATTCATATTTGCATACATATTTATGGTAGCAAAACTACTTTGTAGCTTAGTCCCACAATTTGAACACTTCTGCAAAACCGTAGTGCATAGCAGAGCACAGTTGGACAATCTCAACTCTAGATGTGGTGAGAACAAAACGGAACTTGGTTGGCTAGCAATTCCCAGTGCTAAGCAGTATGTAGCTCCCTGAGGTATGGTGATCTGTGCTTCCAGCGCAGGCCTGCCTTTGGTCAGAAGGGAAGGCGATGAGTGCAGAGAGAGCTGGGAAATTTCCAAGGAACTGAGTTCTGTTTTTAGCTTACTCCCTCCCTTCAGCAAAGCCAGACACCCACAGTTTTCCCCAGAGTCCATTCCCCTAGACAAGAGGGTGGTTGTCCCCAGGATAGTCAGAGGCAGGCCACTGGGACCTTCCTGGCTAGTAGAATCAGTGTCCATAACAATAGCTGCCTCTCCAATGAGGCATGGCTGAATGCAAACCCAGATCTATACAATTGGAAAAAGATTATATGAATTTTAAGGATTGAGCATTCATGGGTTTTCAACATAAAAGAATCCTGTAGATGTATACTTAAAAATATATCCATCCATACCACACCAAACGAAACATTTCTATTTTTCCCTTTGCCTTCCCTTCTCACTAGCTTCCTGCCTCCACACAGTGTGGAGTTTTTTTGTTTTTGTTTTGTGGGTACAAGGGAGTATGTCTTAGTTTGAATCTTTATAAACAGCATTTTCTTGGCCAAATGCAGTAGTAAATATACAGTAAATTGCTAGCCTTGTTCTAAATCCTGAGTGCTCACTTGCCATACTATAATTATCACCACCCTGCCCATACCTAGGCACACCCCTTCTCTCTGAGGGCAGCTGTCAGGCTGTGGCTCTTTGCCCACTGTCTCTCTTCCCCTATCCTGGCTCCAGGGCCTGAGCTACTGAGAGCCTCAATGCCTGAGATTCCCCCACTGGGCTTCCTTTTAGCTTCAGAGATGTGAATGGACCCCAAATCATCCTGTGTTGCTAGGAACAATAACCCAGAAAGTCCAAGTGAAAAAAACTAGTCCGCCTTCTCCAAGTCTTTCCTTGGCTATATGACCAGACTTACTTCTACAGCTGCTTTTTCCCAAAGACTGACTTTTAGCCTAAGTAGGTCCCTTTTTTGAGAATCTTGCTCCCTTTAACCATCAGAAGTACGGGTTTATATTTCTCACGCTTACAGTGTGTCAGGTGTTTTGCTTGGTTTTCTTTTCAACAAAATGGTTGCCCCCAGAAATTCAGCAGTTCAGAGCTCATTTGCCAGGAGCTATCCTACCCAGCACCTGCACACAGCCCCCTCCTCCAAGTGAATGCTGGAATGAGGGCTTCTGCTTCACTGTGCCTTGCAGGCCACAGCCTGGATCACAGTAGGTTTGGGCACCAGCTCCTCTGGAGCTGGTGAGGCATTAATTACACTTTACTGCAGCTATTAGGAATATGTCACTGAAGAATGAGCAACTTCATTACAAGATAGTGTGCACCTGCAAGCCACCTACAGGCATAAGTACCTAAAGAGGAGGTGGAAAGGTAGGGCCAAGACAACAACACTAGGCTCCTCTATCAGCAAAATCCAGCACTCTTAGAGGCTAAGGATTGCTGTAGCAACAGAAGGGGGCAGTCACTGGCTGTTCAGGAAGGCATAAAATTCAAGGAAAATGATTGCAAGCCACCCATTGGGCCTCAGAGCAACCTGACCAAGGAGGTAAAAAATGGTTAAAAGGCACATTGTCTTGTTGGAGAACTGTTGGCTACTTCTTGGGTTTCATCAGAACTTCAGTATTATGTGACTATTGGGCACATAAAACTAGATGTTCCTGAGCAACAGACCACTCTTGCTCCTCTGCACCCCTGAGTAGAGCAGGGGAGCCAGCCAGCAGTCACAGTGATGGGGACAGCCCTAAAGATCCATAGCCACTTGGAAGTCAGTGGCAGAGCTACTAGGGGTTTACTGAGCCAGGTAGAATTTCTGCACTGCCTTAGTGCTCAAGGACAAGACTGTGATGTGTGCCCCAAATGCCTGCTGAGCATTTGGATGCCGGGTCCTGACAGCTGCTTTACTTTGGCCCCCAGGTCACAAGCTCCTCTAGAGAAAGCTACTCCCCCAGGCCAGCAAGTCTGGTGCTTCCTTTTGCCCTAAGCATCACCCACAGGTCTGAACACTGCCTAGCTTGCTTCCTTTCAGCACCCAGCGGCATTGGAGTCTTCTGTTCGAAGTGGATTCATATAGCCAGTGGCTCCCTGTTCCCCTTTGTGCCCAGTGCACTGAGTGTGTCCACTGCTCTCATCTGTGTCCAGGGCTCACTTCTCTGTGACTTGCCGGCTCTCCTGTTATTTCCCACCTCATGCTTTTCTTTTCAGCTGAACCTTATTCACAGTGAAATCAGTAATTTAGCCGGCTTTGAGGTGGAGGCCATAATCAATCCTACCAATGCTGACATTGACCTTAAAGATGACCTAGGTAATTGGGGACGGGGTTCGGCATCACCAGCTGTCAGATGAGAAGTTATGGAACCCAGAATTTAGGCTTTTTCATCTACCCAGACTTCAGAACAATCAAGGCAATTCCCCAAATCCATGACTGAGGTGTGAGTGTAGACCTTGAATAGTTACTCCAAGCCACTCCAAATTTTGGAGCCCGAGCAGGTCTCATAAGTTTCATTATGATTGGCACCTATCCCCTCGACTGCAAATATATTGCTGTCTAAATTCTCTTCCATAATAATCAGACTGACTGCTGGTTACTCGGGGGGAATTTTAAAACATGTGTTTTTTGTTTTTCTGTTTTTTTTAAAGCTGAGAAATTTCAGGTAACAACAAAATGATAGTTTCTCCGTTTAAGCCTTGATTAGAAATGACACTCAAAGTGTGAAAAGGAAGGCAAGCTGCATCCTAATGTCATTGAGCTGTCTTTCATTCACAAGCAGATTGGTTTGCTCCAAATTTACCACCTCCTGTCACTTCTTCAGCTTTTTCTACAGTGAAAACAGTATATGACTAAATGCCACCTTCATAAATTATTTGTCCAGAGGATATTAAGCAGAAGAGTAGTACCTCTTTCTGAGTGTGTCCCTAAGGAGGAAACTCTGCCCCAGGGCCATGGTGTCTCCTGGCCGGGGAGGGCTGAGAGTTCCCCTGAAGTGCCTCACCTCTGGTTTCATCTTCTCAGATGAGGAACTTGCTGCTTGGGGCTCAGTGAAAGTACCCGTCCTCTTCAGGGTAGAGAGAACCTTGCCAGGGGACACAGGCTCTGCAGATGCTCACAGAGGCAGCACTGCATATGTATATTTTGTGTGGCTTTAGCGCCACCCCACCCCCTGCCCCCACCAAGTTTTGGCCACTTTTTGTCAGATGGCATATTTCTTACTGGGAGAGTTGCTCCTTCCAGAGCCCAGGCCCACTCCACACAAAGTGGGCACAGCAGTGACTAAAGGCACAGGGATTGGGACTCACAAATGCTCTGCTGAATTTGTTTTCTACCTGCCTTACACTGATACTTTCTGTAAAACAAAAAAAGGCATGAACTTAAAAAAGCAGTGATGCTACCCAAAGTACATTTTATATTAAAATACATAAAAATAAGATCTGCTGTCCATTGAAGATAAAAACAAAATTAATTGATTAAAGGCAGTCCTGTTCACATAACTATACTGTTTTCTTGGTTTTCAGGCGTTATCCCTTGAAGGGTAGACAAAATAGTGAATGCCACAGAATGAAAATCAAAGCCATAAGCTGACTGCTGCAGGCTGCGTGGAGAAACTTGTTGTTTTGGTTGGCCTGATGGTCCACAGTTTTTTTTTTAAAGCAGATGCCATGTTTTAGTAGCCTTCTCAGTGGGGTGCCAGTTTTATAGGCTTTTGAGAAGTGAAATGGGGCATTTGTTGTTTTCTTTCTTTTAACCTTTGGAAATGATCTCATGTGTGTTTCTCTTTTTTTGGACTTGTCATTTGAATGTTTAATTTAAACATGTCACATTTGATATTCCTCCTCCTCCTGTCCTCACCCCCATCCACATGTGCGCACACTGCGTGGACTGATTGCCCCTTGGGCTCATATGTTGGAATCGACCAGGTAGGCTAGCCCTGCCATTGGGCATTAGTAAATGTGCCTGTGCGTGGGTCTCGGTCCAACACAGTTGATCTACATTTGTTTACCTGTTATAGTTGCAAGTTGTACAGGCTGACATTGCCTCGATCGACAGTGATGCTGTCGTTCACCCGACAAACACTGACTTCTACATCGGTGGTGAAGTAGGTAATGCCTAGCCGGGTGCTGCCGAGTGTGTGTGTGCATGGTCAGTCGGCCGCTGCAGACAGCTTGATCCTTTTGACAGCTATGCAGGGCTGCATTCATTTCACACTTCCAGCTGTCCTGACCTTCCCAAGGCCTCCCATCCCTGGGTTGTGAACTGGAGTAGTATAGCTAGCTGACAGCTAGGTGCATCCCGCAGCTCACCAGTGGGCACTTCTGGTTTGGAAACTGCCTCAGCAGCATTGTTTATTCCCCTGCTTCACGAGGCACAGCTTTGCTGGAGACTGGGTTCCAAGATTCCAGCTGCAGGCAGGATATGGCCAGATGGGCCAAGCAGCCTTTAAGACTACTCCTGTGTCCTCTGAAGAACAGACACGCACAACTGCCTGTACACAGGGTTGTGCCCTCCCACTTGCCTTCTCTCCATGTCAGAAGCATGTTCATTCCTACAAATGGCCTTGCAGCTCAGGTGCACTGAAGGGTCCTGTTGTAAATGCTTTTCCATGCTCAGGGTTCTTAGATGGCAGGTGCAGGAAAACCATCCCATTTGATGAGCTATTCTCAGACAGCTCTTGAGAAACATTGTCCTGTCCCCAGTGTCTGGCACTCCACTGTGCGTTTCCTACCATGTGCTCAGTAGTTCAGGGTGGCCAAGGCAGAGGGCACGCAAGATGCCGAGTCCTGTGGGCATCAGTGTCCGGCTCTCATGGTGTGCTGAGAGGCTTATGTCAGAGGAGGCATCTAAGCACAGCAGAGAAAACACATCACTAGCTAGGAGGAACTTGAATCCTAGCCTTGCAATGATAAGTTACGGGATCTAAGTGAGTCACTTAACTCCTCCATGGTGTCATTTTCTGACTGATAATAGTGATCACTTGAAATGTAAGCGAAGTGCCTTGTTCAGTCCCTGGCACTTGCTGTATTGTCTCACTCTTGTGCACATATGATTTTGACTTATAGATGTGCTGAGCCTGAGAGAAGTGGATTCAAACTGTCAAAATGGTGACTTTCTAATAAGCACCAAACCCAGTCATCTCGAAAGAAGAAGAGATGAGGACATCCTGGTTTCTGGATCCAGGACGTGAATAGCTCAGCACTGTGCTGTGCTGTGCTCCCTAGCAGAGCCTGCTGTTCAGTCTCCCCTGGATACTTTGCTCTGGGCTAATTACTCTCCAGACCTTGTTGGATTTCGGACACGTATGGAAACACAAACTGGATGGAAAGTCAGGATTTGCCAAGTCTGTCGGGCCAAAATGAAATCAGGCTGTAGCCAATTAAAATAAATGCCCCTTTCACAAGATTTGGAGGAGTTTAAGAGCTTCTAAGACAGGCAGCATAAGAGAAAGATGCTTCCTTTCTTAACCTGATGAAAACTTGATGGAAGGGCAGTACTTATTGGAGAAAAATAAGTGAACAGCAAAGGTCTTGTCCCTCTTTTAACTGTGAATGACTAAGGCCTGGGCTCATCGTGCCACTTAGGGCATTGGACAGCATGGAAATTATGAAGCTCCTTGGGCAAAGGTATCTCACCCACACCCAGGGAGAAGAGAAAGTTGGCTGATCTACTGTATTCAGCAGGACTGGCCATGCCAGTGGGAGAGCTGGAGGCTTTGAGACAGGGCCCCTATCAGCTGGGGAGTGACAGCAAAGCCAACTGAGCACCCCTTAGAAGAGCCCAGTCCTCGAACCAGGGCTGGTCTTGTTGATGTTAATGCTTTTCCTCTGACATGCATGGGGCCATAGTACTTAAGCAACCTGGATCCAAGGTCCAGGAACTGGCCCAAGTTCCTGCCACACATCACTCACTGACACGGTCACAGCTAGCAAAACCCTCAGCAGAGAAAAGATTGTGCCAGGCTGGAACCCAGTCTTCCAAAGCCCACCTCTGTGCTTTCTCTGCCCAGTGACCTATTCCAAACTAGTACTGACCCCAGATATCTTGTGCAACCCCAAAACAACAAACCAGATTCATGTATGGCCTCAATTGGTTCCAGCTCCCACTTTGATGTGTGATCGGGGAGAAGAGGAAGCTAGGAAGTAATCACTCCACTTCTCATTTTTGGTGTGAATTCCTGAGTCCCGAGACTGCTGGAAGAAGGAATTCGAGTGCAGGAATGCTTAGCCCCAGTGATTAACTTTTACCCATCAAAAGTTCTTTCTAACAGTGAAATAGACCACAGGCTTAGCCTGACATTTTATCCAAGCCTAAATTTTCGCTTAGGCTGTTTTGAACACTGATACTTATGCCTGCTTTCTAAGCATGAAATAATGTTCTCGTTCTCATGGGAGTAACACATGTTTATGCTTGGGGGCAAATAAGCCAATTGCTTTATGATTAACCCTGAAGTTAAGCCTAAAAAGCAAGAGTCTTACATTAAGAGTGTTGACAACACAGTTGAAAATGGGCCTGTTTCTTGTTAAAAAGTACACGTGTGTCTACATGGACATGTGCATACATATGTGTGTGTAGGAGTCAAGTCCTGACTGGGTTGATTGCCTGTGACCTAGGGTTTAATTTTTAAGTTTGAGAAATGCATTAAGTGTATTTTAACTTCCAATTTCACTTCTAATTAAAGCAGCATTTAATTATAAGTAAAAATTTTAAAGTAAACACTCTTCCTAAGATGAAACACCTTTAATTATAAATCAGCCCATTTTCTTAGGAAATGTTTGATTTAGGAGGGACTTGATAGTTTTCATTAATCTTAGTGTTAGATTTTATTTTACTTTTCAAAGTCCCCAGTTCTCACCGAAGAATAACTCAAGTAGTCCAGCCTACAGCAAGCCTCAAGCTTGAGAGTGGGTTCTGGGAGAAGACTAGAGCTGGGAACCAGGTCTAGCTGCAGGGATATTTCGCATGAACCTGTACTGAGGTGTCTCACCTGGGCCATATCCACTTCCTGCTGGGTATATTTGGGCCATTACAGGCACATGGCCTATTCATCTGCCACCTCTGATGCCTAACTATTATAAACATGCAGCAGGTAAAGGGCTCTGGAAGTGACATTGTGCCCCCTGCCATATAGCTGCTGCTGCTTTTCCAGGCAGGTGGAAAGCATGAGGGTAGTCAGCCTAAGCTAATAAGGACCAACACAGGATCCCACTGCAAGAAGCCAGTTTTTCTCTCTGTCTCTCTCTCTCTCTCTCTCTCTCTCTCTCTCTCTCTCTCTCTCTGAAAGTCCAGCCTTCTTTCAGCTGAGAGCTCCTTGTGAGCCATGGGCTGCTAGACACATTCACTTATGCACCCCAGACTTCCCGTGGCAGGATGGTAACAAGTTCAGTCTGCCAGTAGCCCTGGTTCTGTCTTACGTGTGACAATGCCCAGGGTATGTACTTTTCCTTCCAGACACTTCCTGGGGTTAGTGCACCTTCGCAGAGCAGGCATGCTCTAAGGCAGGCTTGGCTGAGATAATTAGACCTAGTTTGGGCTGGTCCTGTCCAATACACATTGACCCATACCAGAATTGTGACAGAATTGTACACTTTGATTTTCCAAGACAGTGGTGAATCTTAAGGGGAGTATTTTATCCTCTTGTGAGGAAAAGTACTTTAAAATGTACAAAATTGAGGAAGCAGAGCTTAAGGAAGAATCCAGCCCCATTCTGGTCAAACTTTACAAGATGCTATTGTCAATAACTTTGTTGCTTGCTAGCCACATGCAGTGTTTACAGCAAAGTTCTTACAGGTGTCTGTAATCTTATTGGGGAACTTGACTTTCATTGCAGTCCATGATGACTTAGCAAGCACCCTAATTCCAGAGAGCACAGTGCTCCCAAATCTCTCTTGGCTGGCTTTTAAAGATCTGGTCCTGACAACTAGACATCCTTCTTCCCAAGCCTTTATACGGTACACGCTCATCTTTAAGCTCTGCTTCTGATTTTACCCTCCTTTCCCTAAGATGATTCTGAATCATTAATGTAATTAAGAAAATACTGTCTGAGGCCATTGGGTTTTTTTTGTTTGTTTGTTTTTTGGTTTTTTTGTTTTTTGTTTTTTGTTTTTTTGTATTCACATATGATGCCAAAGCTGCAAACCAGGAAGTAAGCATGAAAGGCTGGTCCAAAATGTGGCCAAATCCAAACGCTTGCTTCTGGGCCTTCTGCCAAGAGGAGAGCTGGCTCCATAGGAGCATGGCGTGCTGCTTCACAAACCTCCTTATTTGGGGCTTCTCCCCAGAGGCAAAAGCCCAAGATAGGAATTAGCCCTGGAAGCCAGCCCCAGTTGGTTTCTCACACCTGTGAAAAGTGTGCAGGGCAGGCACATTTGCCGAGAACAGACACCACCTACACATCACTGGCAGCATCACCTGAGTCAGCCCCAAAGAAGGGCCCTGCAAAGGCAGCGAGGAGGAGCATCAGTGCCAAGTGGCCACTGGCTGATGGTAAATCCCTTCTAAATTTCACCTCACTGACTCAGCCCAGGCATGGTTCCTGTTTTGCAGCCCTATGGAAGTAAGCTGGTCAGACCATTTAAAGTGCGTAATCACCTGACATGCTCCGTGTCCGTGTGTGCCGAAGATGTGGGATGCACTCTGACCCTACCCTGTCCTTGTTTAGGGAACACGCTGGAAAAGAAGGGCGGCAAGGATTTTGTGGAAGCTGTTCTGGAACTCCGGAAAAAGAACGGGCCCTTGGAAGTAGCTGGAGGTGAGATGGGGCAGCCACTGCACTTATTTGGGTGTGATGATGCATCTCCAAGGCAGAGAGCCTATGAGCTGTACCACTTAAATTCGTGTCACATGCAAACTGTCAAGGGAGATGAAGGCTCCTGAAAATCACCCTCACATTTTGAAAAACTATTTAAAGTAGCTCCTATATATTTGTCGTCTAGACCTCAAGTTTTTGGTTTTTTGGTTTTTTTGTTTATTTGTTTTGTTTTGTTTTGTTTTTGGCAGTACTGGGGCTCAAACTTGGGGCCTTCACCTTGAGCCACCACCAGCCCAATTTTTTGTGGTAGGGTTTTTCGAGATAGGGTCTCTCAAGCTATTTGCTTAAGCTGGCTTTGAACTGCTATCCTCTTGATCAGCTAGGGTTACAGGCATGAGCTGCTGGCAACCAGGTTAGACCTCAAGTTTTAAGGAATTACAGAAGCTGAGTTTGGCACATTTGAGAGCTGGGAATTGGAGACAGTTATGCTGAGCCATCTGCACACCTGCCGGTGAGAGATGCAAATTAATAATCCACACTCAGCCATCTGTGTTTTTGTTTTTGTTTTTTTTTTTCATTTTTCTTTTATTATTCATATGTGCATACAAGGCTTGGTTCATTTCTCCCCCCTGCCCCCACCCCCTCCCTTACCACCCACTCCCCCCGCTCCCTCCCCCCCCCTCAATACCCAGCAGAAACTATTTTGCCCTTATTTCTAATTTTGTTGTAGAGAGAGTATAAGCAATAATAGGAAGGAACAAGGGTTTTTGCTGGTTGAGATAAGGATAGCTATATAGGGCATTGACTCACATTGATTTCCTGTGCGTGTGTGTTACCTTCTAGGTTAATTCTTTTTTGATCTAACCTTTTCTCTAGTACCTGTTCCCCTTTTCCTATTGGCCTCAGTTGCTTTTAAGGTATCTGCTTTAATTTCTCTGCGTTAAGGGCAACAAATGCTAGCTAGTTTTTTAGGTGTCTTACCTATCCTCACCCCTTCCTTGTGTGCTTTCGCTTTTATCATGTGCTCATAGTCCAATCCCCTTGTTGTGCTTGCCCTTGATCTAATGTCCACATATGAGGGAGAACATACGATTTTTGGTCTTTTGGGCCAGGCTAACCTCATTCAGAATGATGTTCTCCAATTCCATCCATTTACCAGCTAATGATAACATTTCGTTCTTCTTCATGGCTACATAAAATTCCATTGTGTATAGATACCACATTTTCTTAATCCATTCGTCAGTGCTGGGGCATCTTGGCTGTTTCCATAACTTGGCTATTGTGAATAGTGCCGCAATAAACATGGATGTGCAGGTGCCTCTGGAGTAACAGTCTTTTGGGTATATACCCAAGAGTGGTATTATGGGAACACATAAACACACATTTCTCATTTGGCACTTATACCTTTCCTGATGGGAGAGGGGACCTGCCAGGGGAGGAGCACTGTTAAGACCTAAAGGCAGGTCTCACCAGCCTGAGGTTTTTGGTGGTCAGCGGGACATAACAGAGGGCCTCCTGCATCCTTGAAGGGAGAAGGGTGCGCATCTCAGGTTTACCTTCTTTATGATCCCCCAGTGCCTGTTAATTAAGTGACTCTTGACTAAATGTAGACATCAATAATGTCCCCACACAGGCCTTGTCCATCTTCACCTATGACATGTGCCCTTCATCCTGGGCTCGTCACAGGGCTTGGTGGAGATCAAGGGGTGGCACTCCCCCCTTGCTTTTCTGAGCCTTGACCTCTGTAAGTAGCACAGCTGGTGGAGCTCTGATTATAAAGCTCTTCTGACAAAGTCCTGTGCAAGAGAGGTGCACGTGACAGTCTGATAGAAGGCAAACCCATAAATTTAGCATGGCTCAAAATTGTTGTTTTATAAAATATTTATTTTGGCAGTACCAGAGTTTGAACTCAGGGCCTGTGCTTGCTATTGCAAGTACTCTACTTGAGCCACACCCCCAAGCCCTTTTTGTTTTAGATAGGGTGTCATGCCTTTTGCCTGAGCTGACCCTGGAATGTAATCCTTCTGCCTCACACAGCTATGTGCCACCATGCCCAGCTTGGTAGTACTGGGCTTACAGGCATGTACCACTGCACCTGGCCTAAAATTTTTAAAGTATGAAGAAAATAAAATCCCTGCTCCATGGCCCAGAGCTAATCTCTCTGAACACGTTTTTCTTCCAGTCTTTTCCGTGATGTGGATAAGCCAATGAGTTAATCATTCTAGTCTCAGGTCAGCACTTTTGCTCACATTTTGTGAACCCATTGAATTCAGCTCCCACAACCGTTAGTTCAGAGACCCTGCCCATAGATCACTCCTACTCCAGTGCCATGACCCTGACTGATGCTCACCAAGAAGTCTGGGTATCATTCTGCCACAGTGGGTGGAGACATCAGCACATAGTGCTCCTCGACTCTCTTCTTTACAGAGCATCTTGTAGACAGGGATGCTGGGGAGACAGGCTGACCCAAGGCTGTGTCCTTAGACCTAACAGGAGAGGTAGAGATGAGTAGCAGGCAAAGGCTCCCCTTCCAGGAGAAGAAAGAGTTGCATCCTAAAACCCAGGATAAGTCAGCCACACAACAAGAACAGAGGACAGCTGCAGAGATGCTCAGCGCACATTTAAACCTTGCTCTCCTGGTAGGTTTGTCTTGACTTGTGTCCATGAGAGTTGGAGATACAATACAGGTAGTAGCAAAAGCTCTGACACATGTGGTCAACCTAGGTAGGGAAGGCCCTGTATGCCTTTGAGGTAGAGAGGGCTCACTACAGTCTTGACTAAAACTCCAGGGATGGGTTCTGGCTTGGCTGCACCCTGAGTGAGGAGACTAAAGGTTGAGCAGCTCTAGCATGGCAGTCCACTGAAGTCTCCTTGGACAGAGGCTATGGAGGTATACTGGAGCAGAATAGCAACTTGGGTTTGGCCTCTTGTGACATGTGCTGCTCTCTTGTCCTCCCCAGCTGCAGTCAGTGCAGGCCATGGTCTGCCTGCCAAGTTTGTGATCCACTGTAATAGCCCAGTCTGGGGTGCAGACAAGTGTGAAGAACTTCTGGAAAAGACGGTGAAAAACTGCCTGGCTCTAGCCGATGATAAGAAGCTGAAATCCATTGCGTTTCCATCCATTGGCAGTGGCAGGTAAGGCCACACCCTGTCACCACATCAGTCATGGCTGTGTTTCACTGCACCCATGGTCCCTAATGGTGGAGCTGTCACCTCTCAAGGTCTGCTGAGGTTGCCTCCCTTAGTCACATGAACCAGGGAGGAATGCAAACGTTAAGCAAGTAACACAAGGCCCTTGGAGGAATGTCATCATGGTGGGTGATGTCAGATTCACCTCACAGGGAGTGTTGAAGGACATGAAGACTTAGGTGGAGAGGATGGGAGATGTGAATGGAGGGAGACTACTTAACAGAGTGCCTTCCCCAGCATCTTTTTTTTTTTCCGCTTCCATCCCAGGGCCTAGGAGACTGGATGGATAGAACTGGGCCCTGCCCCACTCCCACCCTTACAAAGTCTACCTTGGGGTAGACTCACCAAGGCTTTTGGGAGCAGTACACACAGTCCTCAGGCACCCCAGAAAGCTACCTTGGCAGCCAGTGTAGTCCTCCATATAGCTGAGCATGCATGTAAGAATCAGCCACATTCCCCCAGGGTGGCAGCACTGCACTCAATCTTGGGGTCACATCCTGGCTTTTGGCAAGTGGTGTTCTTTGGACAGAGAACCTGCCACTGCTCCTGAGCCTTCTGGGCCTCTGCCCCTCCTATACCCAAGGAAAGCAGGGTCCTGTGAAGAAAGCTCTCTCTCTCTAGCACAGCCCTTTCACCTTGCAAGGAGTGAGTAGAATCTCCTGCTTTCCCTTTAGGCATCAGTGAGGTCCATTGCCTCTCTTAGAAGCTATACCTATCGAAGGGATTGCCTGCGTGCAGGTGCTACCACCATGCCCCAGGAGGACCCCACATGGCAAAACCTCTGGTTTTTCTGACCCTCTTCCTTAAGAGCCTTTCACTGCCCCCTTTAGCAAGTGTAGAGCAAGTGCATCCCCTGCCAACTCTCCCAGACCAGTTCTCTGGGTACCAGGGGCCGCCTCTGAGGACCCTTCATACTTGGCACTGTTCAGGTGGGCTCTGTCCTCTTGGTGGAAGGATGGGACCCAGGGGGCTCCTGCACAAAAGATAACCAGACATTCTGACCTGTGCCTGCCCACTCTGCTGCACCATCAAAGCTAGGGGCCAGCCCAACACATTGGGTGAGAGCTGACAGACTCCCACATGCTACCTGTTTTGGATAGTGCCTACATTTTCAGTGACTTTGCTTCCTCCTTCTAAAAGTCAACACCAGAGAGAAAGTTGAATCAGTTCTAAAAACACCTGGCAAAGACATGCATCCTTCACCAGGTAGTCACCAAGTACCCAGCCACTGAACTTTCCCAGAGCTGTTACAGGTGCCTGTCTCAAAGTGGATTCAAGATCATACCACCCTCCAATATCCCATAGAAGGTCTGTTGTTTGGCACTGTGCTCCTGGTCAGTGTAACCTTTGGTAAATTAATTGACCTCTCTGTTCCTGGCCTGCCTTAACAGCAAGTGAGGCCATAGAGACTACCTTTCCTTGCAGATGGTTCTGAGGCTCAGTTAATTAGTATTTCGGATGCACTTTGATCTACTCTGATGAAAGGTGCTTCCGAAGAGCGAGGCCATAGGAGCCTTTATTGGAGGTAATAATTTCACGCTCTTTCATATGGCTATTGGGAAATTTTTAATTGAAGCATAAAAGTAATTCCCATAAAAGAGCATCTGTTATTACAAACTTATTTACATTTTTCATGGAGTAAAAAGTTTTTAAAATAATCAATTGAAAGCTTTTAAGAGGGCAGAATGCCAAAGGCAGCACATGTGCGGGGCTCCCTGGGCCCACATCTGCCAGGCAGACCTCATCCCACAGCCGTCCCACAGCCGTGCAAACAGCTGCCCTCCCTTTCATGAGGAAAGAATGGGATTACACCAGAGCCGGCCAGTAAATCACAGGGGGTTAGGAGGGAAATAAAACGGCTTGTTTGTGGCATCCAGTGTCTCTGGCAGAGAAGTCATGTTGGAATTTAAACAGTATAAATGCAAACATGACAAAGAGCTGGGGGATCACTTTCTCCAGCAGAGGCCCAGCTTTTCCTGGCAGGGAGCAAGTGAGACCCCCACCATGTAACCCTGGCCTCAGTCATTCTTCATACACACCCTGCTCCCTCAGCTCTGGTTGACATTAGGAGGTAACCCCGCTCAGGGCAGTACAGCAGGAATAGCTCATTTGGGGGCTTTGATTAAACTTTCCTTAGATTTATGAGCATAAAAGGAAAGCTACTTAGGGAATTCACTAATCCCAGGTGTTGTGTTGAACTCTTTATCTGCACTCTGTCACAGCAACCCTAAGAGGTGAGCACTGTTAAAAGAGGGGTTAAGTAACTCACCCGAGGTCATACGGCTTGTACTTGGAAGAGCCAGAACTTGGTCCAAGGTCCTGCACCCCAGAGGTTACACTATCAGACCCACAGGACCCCTTTCAGGGAGCTAAGGGCCATCTCAACATTCCTTACATACCTGAGGAATGGCCGCAGCGTCCCTCCCCTTTCATAGCTTTGGAGGAGAAAGAAGAGGATGGGAGCCTCTTCTTAGGAAGCCCTGTTCTGTGGCTACCCAGTCTTTCCAGCTGTGGAGCAGAAACCCCATGATCATCCCTTCCAAATACCCCCTCTTGGACACCATTGCTTTCAGCTTGGGATCCTGATGACCTGGTCTTTACCTCTGAAAGTAAAAGCAATCACTCGAAAGCCAGGCAGAGCCTGGGTAAATGGTAAAGGCCACAAGCAGCCCAGTATGGGTGACCCAGTCCTAGCAGAAGTGTCCACATGTGAGGTAAGGACCACATCCCAAATCACAAAGCTTCTAAGACAGCCAGGACAATCAAACCAGTAGGTTGGCCCTTCAAGAAACAGGTCCACTCCTACTGTGCCCAGCATTGAGGCCAGCCCCCAGTCTATCCCTGGGTAACTGGAAGCTCCAGCCTGGAGGATGGCCCTAGAGAGCAGGGTGCTAGTAAAGTGGTGAGGCCCACACAACAGGAAAGGGCTCAGCAGAGCTGGGAGAACTTGAATCTATCCTAGGGTCTGGTCCTTGTGAACCCAAATGTCTACATACCTTGTGGGCCAAGAATCCCATATGTGCACCCCCTGCCATCACTGAGCAGGTCAACCCAGAGGGCACCAGACCGAAACCACCATTGGACCCCATTGTATTAGCCTAGGGGTCAGACTTTCAGACACTAATGGGGTGACTGCAGGGGAAGCTCAGATGCGAGTTTCATCTGTGCAAGGCAGGGCATGGCATAAGGGTGGGTGGAACAATCACAATCCAGCTCTGCACAGGCCTCCAGGCATGCGCCATAAACACAGCCCTATACGGGCTGGGGCTGAAGAACATGGGTGAGGAGCAAGGCAGCTGCAGTCTCCTCATGTTGTTTGCCTCAGGGTGAGGTACGTGCTTCCAAGCCCAGGAAACTAATGTTCAGAATCGCATGCCGTGCTGGAGGCCGGGACTCATACCCAGATTTGACGCTACAGCAGTAGGTCTTACAGGCAGAGTGCAGCTGCAGAGCAGTGATTGTCTCAGGGCAGGAGACCTCCTGGCCAGGTGGGAATGACCATTCAGCTGGGAACCCAGCCGGCCAGCGAGGAGAAAGTGCCCAAAGTCCCACAGCTACCAGTGCTTCACAGGGTGCCCATGGCCTGCCACTCATGCCAGCTGTCAGCTTGCACATTGAACAGCAATCACCCAATCACGCCTGTCACAGGGCCTGGGGAAGCAGTGTTCCACTGTGCAAGACTTTAAAATGACCCTGTGATCACCACTCTGCAGAGGCCTCCATGCACATCTTGCCCCATACTCTGCCTCTCCCATTTCACAGGTTGGGGACCAGACACAGACTCATTCAGATCCTGTTTGGCACCAGGAAACCTGGAGCTCTTAACTGCTCTGCTTCTCTGTCCTGGGCAACTGTCAGCCAGCCATGCATCACAACGGAGCTGGGACAGGCTAGCCAAGACCACTGTGTGGGCCACAGCTGCCCCCATTTTCCAGAGTGCAGGCTGGGTCTGTAAAGCAGTCTGTGAGAGCATCTTGCACAACTATCTTGTTACCAATGTGTCGAACTGTGGCAACTAGGAAACATTTGGGGTCCCACATGGAAACATCAGGAAAGCAACTACTTTCCCTTCTGGCAGCCTATGTGGTCCACAGCAGCTGCAGTCTCATGGCAGAGCTGCTGCTTTAGGTTGTGGCTTCCTAGGACAGAAGGATGGCTTTGTCAACAAGAGGCCATCCTGGAAACAAATCCATGTTCATGTTCACCCAACAGCATTCCTTGAAGGCCAGGCACATTCTAGAAGAACAGCCTGCTCGCAAGTAGCTGGAGGGTATGCTGGAGCCCACCTTTCTCCCCCATCCATGGGTCCTTTACCTGTGGGCCCACCCTGCTGGCTACATGCAGAATAATGGTTGTCAAAGGGTGGCCCTAGAACTGGGGGTGGGAGACAGAAACTCCAGGTGGGTTTGAACAAGCCCTCCATGATACCAGTGCCAGCCACAGTATAAGAACTATGATGTAGAGGAAGAGAAATGAACATTCCCCCACTGGAAGCTACACCCTTTCCAAAGTCCCAAGTCAGAAGATTGGAGAACAGTCTGTGAACAGTCTGTGTCAGAAAGTGCTGGACCCAGATGGGAGTGACTTGCACACTTCTGGTGCTCCATAGAGATCCAGGGCCTTCCAGTCAGCAGGGGAGGGACCAGGGCCACATCGTATGGCTGCATCACACCGTGTCCCACACTTGGGCCAGATGTAGCTAAGGTTGGAGCTTCTGTGGCCGGGGCAGACTGACTGATGGGAGGCCTCAGCAACTAAAGCAGCCTGGCCCCAAGCTGGCTGGACAGATGCAGAAGGAAACAGGCTGTGACCATTCAGCCGTATGGCAGACTATCATTCTCAGCAGTTCCTCAGCCCATCTCACCTGTGCAGGTGTGAGGTAAGACTAGAGACAACCTGTGCTTCTGGAAGATGGTCCCATGATGGAAGGTCAAGCATGCCTCCTCCAGCAGTTCCCAACATGTGTCTTGTCCCAGATCCTCTATGCTCCTTGATGCAGGCTAACTTTCAGAGCTGAGAATGGGCACGGGTGCTAGGGGATGAGCTGTCCACTCTCATCACAATCCTTCTGCAATCCATATCACCCTCGATCCTGGCTCACCTGTTGGTCTGGAGCCACTAGAGTTGCTCTGGGAAGAAACCAGAATGTCCCTGAAGCTCTGGTCTGTTCTCCACTTTGGCTGTGCTGTATGGCTGAAGAGGAGCCATCATCTGTGCGTGAAGCGACACTCATGCTGGATCATCCTACTAATTATCCACAGACAGGGAATATGCCTCTAAATCAGTGCTATTCCTGAAGCATCCAGAAGGTCCTGAGTCTCTACCATCAGGCTGTAGGAAAAGCCATGTGTGCTCAAACACAGGTCACAGAACAGCATTCTCCTGTGTGTGTGCAGCAGTGGAATGCAGGCAGCTCTCCGGGGGCCACCAGGTGGTTCAGACTCATAGGCAGGCACCACAGGAGGCCAGGAGTGTTGTAACAAATTCTCACCTCATGTATGTGCAAACCCCTCCACCCAGCAGCAGGTGCTGCTGCAGCACATCTCCACCAGCTGAAACAGGCTGGGCCTGCACCTCTGATGCCTACAGGCCCCCAGGTGCAGGCAGATTGATGACTGTAGGTCTGCCAGTGAACAAAGAAATGCCTGTGACAGCTGTCCCAAACACTCCCTCTTACTACCCTAACTGTACAATGGGATCAGGCAGGGATTTGAACCCGGGGCGCTGGCTCCAAGTTGCCACTGTCCTCCAGATGACCAAAACATGCAGTGTTGACCAGGAACAGCCTTGGACACACATGCAACCATGAGTGCCGTGCTTCCCAGTCCTGAGTTCACATTCTAGTTTACGTTCTGTGCCCCCACCTCCAAAAATTGCCACATGACACTTTCAATGGAACTGTATGTGAATTCCAGAATTCAGCTTGGACACTTAGACAGTGTACCTGAGCTGAAGAGGCCACATGACCCAGAGTTCTTCCCTTGTACCTATAGCAGATGACCTGGCCTTTGTGGTGGCACCAGCTGGTGAGAGAGGGAATTCTGGGCCAGCAGCCATGAAATCTGAAGACCAATGTGAAGGGCAGCACCCTCCAGTCTGTACAGTCAGTCAGTGCCTGCCCAGAGAAGCTCTGGCTGCACCTGGGGCAGCCACCCATTAGGGCTTCAGCTTGGTATTAGCTGCAGGGGCCGTGAGGAAAAAAAAACAGGTACTTGCACTGCCCGTGGATGACCTGACACTCCACAAAGCGCTGTCCTTCTACTGCCTTCCACAGCACAATGTGCGCAGCACAGCTCTCTGCCCATTGCTGGTCCCCAACCTGCAAATGCCGGGTTTCCTCATGCCCATTACTGAGCAGCCCAAGGGCTCAGTGGGCAATGCCCACTAGACCAGACTAGCTAAAATATATGAGCAAAACATATGGACACTCTTTGCTTCAAAGGGCACTTTGAATCTAAATTTCCCTAATATGCATAGCCTAAAATCCCAACCTGAGGCCAAGCTGTTCGGCCAGTGTTGAGGGCCCCCCCACAGGAGTTAGGTTGTCCTGGTCACTGACTGCTGTGTTCTCTCCTACAGGAACGGGTTCCCGAAGCAGACAGCGGCCCAGCTGATTCTGAAGGCCATCTCCAGTTACTTCGTGTCCACCATGTCCTCCTCCATCAAAACCGTGTACTTCGTGCTTTTCGACAGTGAGAGTATAGGCATCTACGTGCAGGAAATGGCCAAGCTGGACGCCAACTAGGCCGCGGTGCTCCAGAGCCAGCCCACACCGTGTCCCCACCTCTAGCTCAAAAGAAAAAACCCTCTCGCTCTTACTGCGAGGCGGGGCCCTTTCATTTTCAAGTTTGCTCATCTAGGGAAAATAAGGTTTTGGTTTCCAGTTTAATTGTTTTTGACCTTCTAAAATGTTTTTATGTTAGCACTGATAGTTGGCATTACTGTTGTTAAGCACTGTGTTCCAGACCGTGTCTGACTTAGTGTAACCTAGGAGATTTTATAGTTTTATTTTAATGAAATCCTGATTGACACAGAGCAGTGGGGAGAACAGTCCCTTTAACATGTCACAGAAGCCAGGAAGCCCTGTTTGTAACTGTGTTGTGGTGCTTTATTGTACACCCAGTGGCGTTCTTTTTACTATAATTTTTTTCTCAGAAGAAAAATCATGAATTTGCAGCAGACCTAATTTTTGTTTACTTTTTGTCTTAATGATGGATTTGAAAATGAAAAATTTTAAAAGCAGAACAGAACCTGTTGTCCTTAATTATATTTGCAATTTGGAAATTGTGTGAATTGATTTAGTAAAATGTTAAACTGTTGTCGAGACTAGCATGTTTCAAGTTCTTGAGTCCTAGGTCTACCTCCCTTGTCACAGGACATGAGGAGCAGGTAGCCCGTGCCCAGGGGACTCCATGGTGGTCAGTGCATTTGGGTGGGTTGAGGCTATCTCTGGCCTTCAGTGGTTATAGAGTTCATGTAAATCCTCTCCTTTGAATCTCATGACTGTGGGTGGGGCGTACTGTCCCCATTTCATAGATGAGGAAGGTCATGTACCCAAACCCACACGGGTAGCAAGTGGCAGGATGGCCCAGAGCCCACAACTTCAGATTGTGAGCCCAGCTTTCCTGCCACCCAGCCCCTCCTTCTCTCTGGCTCATAGCTGGGCTCAGCTGATACAGGCCTCGTGCCCTCTGCTGAGCTGCATTGGTCTGGCATCCCTTGGCAGAGATGTTCCAGGAGTTTCTAACGACCAGTTGCCACAGTCAAGGTCCAAGGACATGCTGCCAACTTTTACATGCCTAAAATTCACAGAGGCCTTCTTCCATCTCATTAAAAAGAAAAGTGCCTCCTTCTAGAGCAGGTATAAAGAGGAAGAAATATACAGCGTGGACACACAGATTGGCTTTTCCTTTCCAAAGAGAGCCTAATGAAGTCAGAACAGAACACAACCCATCTTCGCAATGAAAAAGTACTTCTAACTCAAACCTCATAGACGATTTTGCAGATCTCCGAATAGCAGAGGAGATTCCTAAGAATCTTAATTTTTTGCTGGTCTAGATCATGTACTCCTATTTCTTGGTTAGAATTTGGCAGAGAGAGAGGAAAACAGATTGGCATTGATCTTTTGAGAGAATGCTTCTTAAAGTGATATCACTTCATAGATAAAACCTGCAAACTGCAGCCCGCGCAGCCATCCATCCAAGAGCACAGTTGCTATGTGTAGACCTTGCAGGAAGGAGGTGAACAAATCATGACTCCTGTTTGCTGGTAATACTGGCATTTGCTGTGAGCCAGGCCCTATGCCAAGCCCCTCACAGGTACCATTTCATTTCTCCTTGCAGTAATAGCAAAAAGCAGGTTCTGTTATCAGTCACATTTTAGAGCCGAGAAAGAGAAGTAACTTGCCTGTGATTGCACTGCTAAAAGTGACAGGCAGATTCAAACAGATAATGCCCACTGTGATACAGGGTACCCGAAGGCTCACTAATCATGACCAGGAGAGCCCATCTGTCCTTAGTGGTGTTTCTAAATCAGGCCAAAACATCTCAGGCCACCATTGCAACATCTAGAAGGAATCACCATTTATTAAATGGCCTCCCTGTGAAGTGGGTTTCCTTTGGAGAAATACCATAGAAGCAAATGATGTGTTTTTCCAAGACCGGCCACTAGATGTCGCTCAAAGGATTGGGAAGTAACTAAAGGTAAGTGCAACCAGGTATTGCTGTTCATGGTGACTGCACAAAAGGAACAAATTGCGTTTGTCAGAGTTCACATGAATTATTTAGCATAATCACCTAAATATTTCTAAACTTTAAATAATCCAAAGTACATCATGCCCCTGAGATATGGGCACACTGAAGAAATTCTTTTCAGTGAAACTGAGGGAAAGAGCCAATAGTGCACCTGGGATTCCCATCACCCCTAAACCACCCAGCCACTTTTTAAAAATGGGAACCAAGAATGGTTGGATTTGAACCCAGCTCTGTCTGTACAACCAGAGCTCTCCCACCCTCCCTGGAGTTGGGTGCTCCTTTGGTTCCCACCCCAGGATTCTGTTATATAGTTAGGGCTTCTTGCCTGGCCATTGATAGGTCCTGTGTGGTCACTTCTGGGTCCCAAAACAGAGCCTGATGGATGAAAGATGAATTTCGATGTGTATTTAAAGCAATTTAGTATTCCACAGAGTCTTATTGAGAGCTTACCGTAACTGACCTCAGATCAGTGGCGTCTTAAAAAAGGTGGGATCTCTGACCAAAGATCAGGACTTAGAGCAGGGAGATCTGCTCACTGGTTTGGAGAGTTCTTGGAGCAGATAACCTAGCACAAGACTTTGTAGGAAATGTTGGAATCTTCTAGACCAAGAGAGCAAAACAAGCTGGTACACAGGCAGCTCTCTCAGCCTCAGGCAGGGGGCTCCCTAAGTCCCCTCTGTTGAGAACCCCAGGTATGTACCCCCATTTCCACCTATGACAGCCACTTCAGCCCTGACTGTGCCTCAGCCCCAGCATTTGAAGCTGCCATCCAGACATGTGGCAAAATGTTTTCTCCCGTTTGTGGTCAAGTAGCTATATTTGGTCACAGCTACAGCCTGCCTTGACAAATTGACTTACACTAAAGCAAAGAGAGAGAGGGAGAGCGATGGGCAGTGATCTCCCTTGCTCACCTGGAGTCCCACCCCTCCTAGTCCCCAGACTCCAAGGCTATCCGTGTTCCACATCCACAGGAGGTGTGGAAGCTCTGGCCAGCAAGCCTCCCACTTCCTTGGTTGTCACTCAGGCTATATTGTCAGTCACCCCCAGTAGACCTGGGGGGGGTGGTTTGGCTGATTTATTCATTAGCAACCGTGATGTTTAATTTTCACTGCCGGCGCCACCAGTCAACGTTATCTTGGGAGCTGGCCTTGGTGCCGCCTTGGAGGGAGTGATCAGCCTGAAGGTGCTAGGGTGTTGCAGGGGGCTGGGGGTGTCCTGGGGCCCACTCCCCACTGAGAAGAAAGGGAAACGCTCAATGGCCAAGGGTGAGGCCACCTTTTCTCGGGCTTTCCATTTATAACCTAGCCTGTTGTGTTTGCTTCTGGTCCCCCTCCCCATATCAAAATAATATCACATGGTCCTCCTGACAGGCGAGGCAATAACACTGCTCATTAATCCCCAGCTCCTCACCGCCCTCCACACTCCTGGCAAAGGTGTGTAAATAGATTGGCCTCTTCCTGACCCCTGGAAAGCAACCCACCCCAGGCTGCTTTGTCAAACTCAGGGAATGAGTGTCTTAGAAACACTGCCTCCCTCCCTCCGAGGCTACCTACCTCCGCCTCCTCCTCCTCCATCCCACCCTGACAACCCTGTCTTGTGCCGTGTGCACACACACATGCACACGTGTTCACATAAGGAAACCGCAACACTCTGTTGGTAGAGGGCAGAATTGAGGGGAATGCAAATAAACATCCTTCAAACTTGAACAGAAGGCACCCAGGATGCTGAGACCCACAAAACATAGCTGAAATTTCTCCAGAGGCTCTCCTAGGACCATTTCCCCTTGGGAAATGGTCAGAACTGTCTATAGATCTCCTGCCAACAGCATCCTGTAGAATTTAAAACAGGGTGGCCTGGATTCCTGCCAGAGCCTGCTGGGGCCCAGAACACAGTCATGCACCACAATGACCTGCAACACACAGGATGTCAGCGTGCAGGTACTCCAGCACACATGCAGTGGGTCCCATGTACCTGGTCAAGAAGACCTCTGATTGCCCTGCTAGGCAGAGAAGAGCTGCCCCAATGTTACAGGTTGAAAGTCACCAGCTTGCATTCAGGTTTACAACTGCATTTTTGGGAGGGCAAAAAAGCATTTCAAATGACACCCTCCAAATATTATGTGCAGAGTCCTGAAACCACAGTGCTGATCACAGCCCAGAGGAATGCAGCCTCAAATTCACAGAAGCAGGGGGTCAAAGTTGCCTTGCTGGAAGGAGTTTCTTCTGGATGAGGGACTTTGATCCTGACACCATCCGATGTCACACACCTCCATCCTCACATACAACCTTTTCATTCATGAGCTTGGCCTGCAAGGCAGGAATCCTAGCTCCCTCACACAGGCTGATGGTATATACTCTGCTGACCACCATGGTCCACATAGGCCTGGCCCCGGGCATGACCCTCTAGCACATCTGCTTGTGCCGTCCTGGGCTAGGCTGCTTAAGAAACCTGATATTGCTGTACCTTGAAATGACAAGGCTTCCCAAGCCGAAGAGAATAAATTAGAGTTGAGTTCAAGTAGGCTCAGCTGTGGCAGATGGGCAAATTGATTTACTTCCCATCTGGGAGATTAAATTCCACTGCCCCAAAATGGCAGCAAGGTAATGAGCTGTCAGTCAAATGGTACAAGCCAGGGCCTGGTGCATAATTGAAGCCCAGCAGCTCCTCATGAGGTCCCTTGGAGTTCCTGGTCATAGGGTCCCACCTCAAGGACCTCTGAATCCTGGGAGAAGGTGCACAGGCCTTGTGGCCACATCCATTAGAGGGAATCGCCACCAGGGCAAGTGTGGGGCTGATTGTAAGGAACCTAGAGCTTAGGATGCTTGTGACATGAGTGTCCTCAGTCACTGAGAGCCCTCCTGAATATAGTGATGGGCAGATCCAATGAGTTCCACTGGGGGCACGCCCAAGGGATATCTCTTCCCAAGGGACATCTCTTTTCTCAACTCCTGTGTCAACTTCTGGGTGTCCCCAGCCATCCCTAGGCTTCTCAAAGGGCAGCACCCCCAAAACCAACACACGCTACTCTGCCCTTTACAGAACACACATGTGCATACTGTTGGTGTAATCCTGATGGTGCCCTGAGATAATGGTCTCATGTCTCCACTTTATAGGTGAGCAAGCTGAGGCCCATGGAAGTTGACAAGCTGCCTTTTAAGCCTCCAGAGGCCTAAGAAACAAAAAGGCCACTCACCCTCTGCAGCCTCACCCCTGCTGCCCTGTACCTGCCCTGACCCCAGAGGACAACCTGTCTGCATTCAGCCCTTTGCATATACTCATTCCTCCCAAGCCACGCTACTGCCTCTGCTTAGTTGTAGTCCTGCCTAATCCTGTGGGTCTCCACTCTTAGCCATCCCCTCTGCCTCCTCTAGGAAGGCTTCCCTGATTCACTGTCTAGAAGATGCTCACCCTTGGTATGCCCTGAACACACACCAGCCACATTTCCACGCCTGTGGGACAGCTGTCTGTGCTTATGGCTGTTTCCCCCATCAGACACTGAATGCTGTACATGCACACGTTCCCCCAGTGATCTGGGGACACAGAATAAAGGGACCAGGATCTGTGTACAGGAACAACCTTGGTACCATACCCAGAGAGCCTGGGTGTGCGGAGGGTGGGGGGAGGGGCTGCCTGAACTCAAAGTCCAGAGGACTTCACTCAGAGAAAGTCAAGGGCAGACTGGGGGGAGTGCGGTCTCCTTCATGCCCTCCCACCCCCAAACACAATTCCGACACTCCAGCCCTGCAGAAGTGATGCTGGCATGACAGTCGGGGCAAAGCCGTCATGCTGGACCTCAGACGTCCTATGAGCACACGATGCTAGTGAGCTTGCATACACACATTTTATAGGCCAGTGGACCTATAAATGTCCTTGGTGGACACTTGCAG